GAAAGAAAGAAGTGATAAACCATCCAGTCGCCTGATAATCCTTAGCCCCTGTCAGAGAGACAGCTCACACTTTCAGGGGTGCAGGTGCCCATTCCTGTGCTCAGAAAAGAGTAAAGACTAAGGCAAAAGGTGATTCCCTACTATTTTAAATGAGGTTGGGTATAGAGGGAGGCTGCCTGTAATCTTAAATTCTTTTTTCCAAATTTAAAGCCTTTCTGCAGTTTGAGATAGACATGAGGTTGGGCTGAACCATCCTTGCTGTCAATGTCAGGTGTTGAGATTAGCACCACACCCTTCCCTGGGTCTGAGTCTTGCATGGGGCTTTGTCCATCATCATCTAGAATGTGATAAAAGCAAGCATGGGAATGCCATTTTGGGGAAGAAACAGCAGCTATGAAAAGCAAAGGAATGTATAGGAGATAAAATGTCTGGGGAAAAGGATGGTAGTAACACAAGTGAGGTAGCAAGTAAATTCTCAGCTCCCCCCAGACACCAGCTAAAAAGAAGACTTGAGTCAGAGACCCCCTATCTGGCAGATACATCACCCCTCAAAATTGGAACATGCCCCAGGAAATGTTCTTGCTGTTTTGTTCTCCTTGTTCATTTTATCCCAAACTCTAACAATGTTGAAAATATCTGGAAATTTTTTTCTTTTCTTTTTATCTAGAGGTTATAGGAAGGGATGAACAGAGATGAGAGACAAGACAAAATGTGTTATGAGAGAATTCCTCATTATACATGGGTAGAATTCACCCCAGAAACCAAAGAACTTCATAATGACAAGGGAGGGATGGCACAGAGCATAAGATCTTTAACGTGTTAGGAGACAGGCTGACAAAGCAAGCTTGATAACTGGCTTCATAAGTCTCCTATCACTTGAAATTATGTTATTTATTTAAAGAGAGGCAGAGGAAGAGTTCAGAAGCCAGTGTCACAAATGAAGATATCTGGAAGAGAAGTTGAGCCTCTTTCATTTTCTTACATCATTAATTTCCTTCACCAGAAAATATAGTTGGACCAAACTGCAATAGGGTTTGCCAATTGACTCCACTATGTAGTCCACCTGTACTCCTCACTAGGCCGTTATTTCCGCATCTGATAACAAAGGCTCCCGAACTCTTATTCTTTTCCTTGCTAACAAACCTCGGTAATCTACACTTAGCCTTAAGGTCTCCAATTCAGGGTTATGGAAGAAACTAGTCTTCCATAGCCCAACGTTTCTACACATCTCAAGTCCTTATCAGAGTTATAGGTTCAGTTTTCACATTTCCAGGGAGAAAATCTGTTCCTTGGCAGTCTTCAAACATTACCTAACATATACATTATACACCCTCAGCCCAGGGCCTCGATCTCTAACATCTCCATGAACACCCCAGCAAACAACAAAATATATCCGCTTATCACACTTCAATCCCATTTGAACATCAGTAGCCACTATCTTGATATACTTGTGTTTCAAAAGGTGATGGAGTGTCCAACAGCAGCAAAGGTCCTCATTAGGATAGACATGTTGGCACCAATAATATTGAAGTTTGTTTTTTAACTGCATTTTTTGTCAGTTTGGCTGGGAAGATCTGGACAGCTGGAAGTGAGCTTCTCCATCATTTTCTGTTTCTTTCTTTGTATCAATTTTCCACCTGTGAAGCCCAACACCCCACCACCAAGTGCAGCTGCAATTCCTGCCACTTTGAAGCCTGCAAGGAGGCCAATAGGACCCCCTACCATTCCTCCAATGAGTGCACCTGCCACAGGCAGAGCTGCCAGCTTGTATTTTGCAGCCTGTAAAAAAAAAAAAATTCAATTTAGAAACTGAGTTGAGAATATCTGCCTGTGGTGATGTACGTTTTCCTCTCATTACTCCTGGAAATGCCTCTTTAACTCTTGGTACATAATTAACCTTAGAGACTGAACTTGTAGGGGGAAAAAGAAAGTATTCCACAGGTACTGCAATTGCTCCAGATCTCTGAACTTAGAGAACTGAGCTACAAAGAGTGGACTGCTACAAATTGATTTTACTTGCAAAACAATCAATTCACTAACAATCTAGCTGGCTTATTTAAACTGTTTCGGCAGCCACAGATTCCTCCCAAAGCTTTTATGTTGCACAGAGATTATTCTGTGCTGTGTGCCTGGGGTTAAAAGCAACATCCTATGGAAAATAGATGGTCCCACTCCATGTGTGCCATCACATACTTACACTTTCACCCTCTGCAAATATTCCCTGGAAACACCAAATGCCTTATATCACAGCTACAGTTTATTCTCTCTTTGAAGAAATTACTCTCCTGATAGAATGAATTTTAGAGTAGAATATTACAACATTGATTTCTTGCACTACCTATGTGTCATTTCTTCCTTATTTCCTTAATTGCTGGTTCCCTCAACATTGAAGAGAGCGGATCAATTGGGTTAATACTAGAGATTCCTGGGAGCCAAAGTACCATTGATTTGTCAGCAGGAGCAGAATCTTACCTTCCCCAAGTTTTTGGTTCCCTCTTCAACATTCACAGCGGCACTGTTGACATGGTCTGCAATGCTGTCAATCTTCTCCTGCTGAGACTATATGCAAAGGAATTATGAGTGAGCAGTCCTGCTGGGGAGCAGCAGGGAGCCAACACACACTATTTTAATTCCTGTAATCAGGTCCCCGGGTACTGCAGCCTTGCCGTCTTAATATGGTTCATTAATAGCATCTGATAAACCATGTCAAAAGGACAAATTAACTTTCATAAGAAAAAAGGGGATGTCTTAATAATTAGGTAATAAAAGGGTGGCAACTTTACAGAAAAAAGCATCTCACACTAAAATTCACTCAAACATACAAACATATTATTCTCCAAATGAATCTATGTACAAGAAAAAATGTCCAAATAAGCATTTACATGTCATGTTGGGTTTGATGGAAAAAAACAACAAAAAAAATCAAACCCCCAAAACACCTCCTTAATTTAGCTTCTTTGAAGATTCAGTTTAAATCAGGCACTTTTACCTTAGGCATAAAATGCCCTTGGTCCAATAAATACAAATTGTTATGTTTCAGGAACAAGACTAGAATATGGTTTGATCTACTATGAGCTCTTTCCATTTGTAATATGCAGTAGGGATCGGTGAATGAATTCACTGTTCTGTGTTTTACACCTGTATATCTGAATACATTTTAAAATCATGACAGTTTAAAATGTTTCAGATCAAATATATTAATAAAGCATTCTACATAAAATGGCAACACCTGTGCTGGCACAACAGCAACTGTGACTCATAGAATCTCTGGTGGAAGGAAGGTTGAGGTCATTGGGTCAGTTCTCCTCTCTGATGTATGAAGCCCTACTATAACATTGTTGAGAAGTGGTTACTGAAGCTCTGCTTAGACACCTCCAGTGACACGAATTCATCACTTGCTGTAGGAACACATTCCTATTTTTAAATCAACTTCAGATAGAATTTACATATAACAGGTACTGCTTTTAATGGAATAGTATGATGAAATTTAGCAAATGTATAAACCAACTACCACAAATGTATAAACAACAAATGTATAAGCCAACATATAATTAACTATCACAAACTGTTTACAGACTATTTTTTTTAATGTGCAGAAAAAAAGAGAATCTCTCTTTGATCCTAGATAGATGCCACCTACAATGAGGGTGAAATAATTCAACTTTAATCCTGAAGTGTTTGATTGCCCTTATATAACTGACCTATTCATTTATATTGAGGCAGACACAAATAACACTTTTCTAATTCCAACCATCATTTCATTTGAAAACATGAAGCCCAAACAACACAGCTATTTTTTCCCACGTTTGTTTCCTCTTAGCATTATTGATATTCCTTCCCTTCTCATACATAAAATATCTTTCTTCACCATTGCGGTATCCCTTCATTCCAGTTTTCTCCACCACTATCTTGACATCTCTAACACAATCTCTAAGGAAGTCCCTTATCAGTTTTCCTTTGAATGTCTCCGTCAGAGACAAGTTTAACAATGGTTCTCAGTCTTTCACCTGGAGGTTTCTTAAAACGCAGATTGCTGGGCCCCATGCCTAGAGTTTCTGATCCAGTAGGCCTGAGATGAAGCCTGAGATAATAAGCTCCCAGGTGAGGCTGATGCTGCCAGTCCACAATTCTCACACTTTAAGAACCACTATTGTATGTGCTCAGATCAAGGGTACCACCTTTAGTCAGATAATCTGTGTTCAAATCTCAGCTAATGAAACTATGTGCCCTTAGACAAATTACTCAAGCTCTCTAGGTGTCAGTATTCTCATTTATTAAGTGAGAATGATGAAACTTATACCTTCATAGAGTTGAAGAGGGGATAAAATGTTTTTGGAAAGTGTGAGGGGAAAAATAGAAAAACTCATCCTGATTTCCCCAAGGAAGTAACTCTCATCTTTCTATCAAAAAATAGACTTAACTATTTATTTTGATGCTTGAAAATTCTATGGCACTAAAACATTAGATATCTTTTAGCATTCATTCATTCATTCAATTTTTATTTTCCTTAATAGCAAAACTTATTTAAGTCAGCTTTCTTTTTCTGACTCACAGAAGAAAAAGTACCAGCACTAATAATAAACAACTTGTCTAGATTTCTGACACCCTATCATCGTTTCTATTTAGGACACCCCCAACACTTTCCATTCTTGCCTGGAACAGTCTATGCTAGCAGATAAATCACAGGCTTAAAACTTTATCATCAGCTGTTATATGTTGATAAGTTGAAGGGTAGGAGAAAAATAATCAATGTGTTTTCCTTCCTTCAGCCCCAAAATAAGTCCAGCAAAAGGGAGGAGTCTGCCAGGATTGTTGACATTTCTGTACCCCAAGTGTGATTGTAAAGCCTCAGGGAAATACTTTTTAATGTTCTTTCCTTTAAAAAGGGTTGGATATTGCAGATGCAGTTGCTGATGTATTAAAAAAAGGGGGGGGTTGGATATTGTACTGCTATGACTTTTTAAAATTAAAGCAAAATTTTAAAATAATTTAAATATTTTTTCATAAAAATCATTTGGAATAACTGAAGAAGCAAGCACAAGAAAAAACCAATCCTGAGATCACTGATTATTTGAACTACAAAGTTCCTCATTATTGCAATCACCAGCATTTGATGAGGCCCATCCCACCCTAGGGAGTGGCCCACATCTATAAGTATTTATTCGTGCCATTAGAAAGCATGCTAAAATATGGGGCTGGGGTGTGGGAAGGAGGCAGAGGGCAGATAACCCCTATCCTGGAATCAATAGTCCCCCTTCGATTGTGCATATCTGCCTTTCTCTTGTCCATGTTTTGTTTGGTTTGCGACTTCAAATTCTGCTTCTTGAGTAAGAAGGACTCAATGACCCCCACAAAGGTTTCAGTTAGGCAGCAAACTGTTGTCACAAAGTTGTCAGTCATCATCAGTAGAATGCCAAACTAGACTCCATGCAGAGCTGAATACTGTCACTACCTGTTCACTATGTCCTTGGCTCTTTTTGTGGGACCAAAAGATACATATACAACCCTGACCCAGCCTGTGAAATCAAGTTCCAGACATTAACAGTGGTTCTCACCTCTATCTACCAATCTCCCCTGAGGTTTTTGCTTCTGATTTGCTCATGTTTATTTTCATCTGCCTAGGCCTCCTACATTTGACAATCTTCAAATTCCATGACTGACATTTTATAGTTTGGCACCCCATATATGTTCTCAGTATTCCTTTAACAATGAGCTGAACTATATTTAAGTGTTTTGCTCATTACACTGCAGTGTTTCTCAAGCTAGAGTAATATATAGACCCCATTTTACAGAAAAAAAAAATCTCAAATGACTTTAAGAATATGTCTATGGATTTCATTTTAAGGAACACTGAATTAAGTCCCCTTATTGGCCTGAAAATAACAAATCTTGATGAACAGCTATAGGAGTACCTAAGTTTCTGTATAAACTGTGGTTTATTATACTTGTCAAGGAGAATGCAATTTGGGAATATAAATTCAAAACCAATGAATTGTTTCATCCTTGAATGCCTGTTGGGGACACTTGTAGGCCTAGCATCCTCTATGTCAAGCAATAGTAATACATTCAACAAATTAATCCCCAAATCCATTTATATCATTAACAATGGTCTTCCTTGGAGAGTTCTGACAGTAGTTGTAAAGTTTAAGGTTCTTGGAAAGCTATGAGTTTATTAAAAGGGTAATACCAAAACTCTAGGTACTTCCATTTATTCCTCTCTAAATTCTAGCCAGCCTTCAAGGCCAAGTTCTAATCTTATATCTTGACCAATCCTGTTTACATTGAGCTATTCTGGTTCTAAAATCCTATGGTATATTCTATACATTCCTTAATCATATGCAATCATATACACAAAAAGGCCCAGAAACAAACTTAAAAATACTATGACATATGGGCAAAATAAATGATTATACTGGCCTCAAGTAGGCAATAAGCAGAGTAAATAAGTAGGAAGTTGATATCAGAGGATTCATCAGAGGATTTAGTACTGAAGGAATTCCAGTACTAAAATGCTGAAGGATAACAGTGGTGGAAAAAGTAAAATTTTTGCAAGGAGCCAAAGAAGGAATCAAAATAAAGGAAGGACAACAGTGGGAATGCAGTTGGGGTCAGTGAAAGGGAAGAGAACAGAAAGTACTTAATAACACACATTATCTCATTTAGTCCTCCCATCAATGTTATAAAGGTCACTGTTGTCAAATAACATCTTGAAGGTCACATAGGTAACAAATGAAGGAATCTGATCTGATCCGTTGCAACCGGTTTTTATGCTTCCAGAGTAAAACTGTATTACAAAAACCATAGGAATAAGGCAAAAGGCAGAAGTCAAAACTGACTAGCAGCAAGGGTGAGTTGTTACTGAACTATTGGCCCAAGCAAGGTTCTTTAAATTCTCCTTGACTAGAAATAGAGCTAGTTACAAAGTTACAGGAAGAGAAGAGGGCACTTGAACAACAAAGTTTGCAGAAAAATAGAGCAGGGTACCTAGCAGATATTAATTTATTAACATTTATTAGACTATAACCTTGATCTGTCAATGGCTTTGTAAGTTCTTTTTGTAGTGGTGAAATAAATATAACATAAATTTACCATTTTAACCATTTTGGAGTGTACAATTTAGTGGCAATAAGTACCTTCACAATGTTGTGCAATGATTACTACTATCTTGTAGGTTTTTTCAAATGCTTTTTCCTATTCTTCATTGAGTTTAGCACAGTGCTATGTACATAGAAAGTATTCCTTAAATACATGGTTAATTTGCCTAGATGCTATCATGTCCATGTGATAATAATGAAAGGATGTGGTCACTCTGGTTATGTTCCCAGGTCATTCTGTGCTTAAATACAGCTTCTGTGAATCCTTGACCATGTGGTCATGAGAACTTAGTCACCCTGGGAATAATAATCAGGGGTTCTCCTTTGAGCTTTTGCCTATTAGCATTCTGTCTCATGTACATGTACCTATTATAAATAGGACATTTGTATAGAGCTATGGCTACAGCCAGAGTTTTCCTGCACAAATCTCCCTTAGATTAGAGGTTATGAGCTGCTTACATAATATAATCAAACATGTAACTATCAAATGGTCACAAACCTTTAACTTTTCTTTTATGTGCCTGTCCCAGAAGAAATGTGTTTGTATCAAGTAAGAACTTTGTACATGTGTAGTTTGTTTTTTAAAATCAGCTTTATTGAGGTATAATTTACATACATTAAAACACATTTTATGTGTACAGATCAATGACTTGGCAAGTGTATATATTTGTGTAACCATACATGTATATGTTTTTACAAAGTGCACTGGATTCAGAGATTATTAGTTTACAGTAGTTGAATAAATATTGATTCTGAAACAACAGATATTTGGGGATTCTTGTTCTATTACTTCCTTCTGTTTGTGAGTATATTACTATTGTACAGAAACCTACTCCAGAAACTTCAAACATTTTGCTGCTTCGAACTTAGAGGCATCAGAAACAATTCAAACAATTTACGGAATTCAATTTTAGGTAACACATTTCAAGAAAATATCCACCATATAGAACATAAGCAGAGTAAGGAGCCAGTACTGAAAAGCCTAAATATTATATTGTAGAAGGAATGCAAAAGAAGCAAGGGTTCTGAAGAGAAGAAAATATGGTGGGGGTTGGGTAGAGTGAGGAAGGATGACAGTTTCGAAACCCTGAAAAACTTTCACATGGAAAGAACATAAAATTTGGTCAGTATGTAGTTCCGAGGCCAAAACTGCCAAAAACAAGTTATTATAGGGCAGACACTTCTAACTCTAACTCTTCTAAGAGTTACAGACTCCAAATGTAATGGTTTAAGTATCAAATATCCTTGTGCTATAATTGTTCCAAAAGAGGCTAGAAGACCAATTATTTGAGAAGTTGGCGCAAGAGTAGAGGGATTAGGTTAGTTGGCCTCTTGAGTCTTTTCCCATTCCAATTGTGATTGTGTGATCTAGGAACTTCTTATTTAAAACTAGATCTCAGGGAAACCATTAACTCAAAGATAAGACAACCCCAAAATCATGGGTTTGATGAAGAACAAAGAACTAAACCTAGACAGAACTGTAAGCAGAAATAGGTATGTTTGTGTGGACACACATAGATAAATATACATACACACATGTATTCATACATCCTACCTTACCATAACTCCTGGGAAAGACAAATATGAACGATTTAGAAAAATGATGGAAAATCTATCTTTCCCACCAAATTGACTTTGTGCTTCCTAATGTATGTTAAGGGTATCAATGACACCCAATTATGCAGAATAAAGACGATGTGCCTTAGCTTTGACTCCATCTTTCTCCAATTTCTGCTAAGTCCCCCAGAAATACCTTCCAGCTGTCCTTTACCTTTACACTGGTATTGTCATTGCTCCAGGAGAACTCTTAGAATTGATTCCTAGCCAGTAATCTTTTCCATGACCTCCTCCTCTCTTAGGCCATTATTAACAAAGCCAACAGTGATCTTTCTGAAGCAGAGACTATATTTCACCACTCTAACCTGCTCAAGAATCAGTATTAGGCTCCTCACGACCCCTCCCTCTCTCCCTTGGAATTAAATGATTTTCCTTGGAGCTGATAATACTTCTTTTCCTTCTTACTCTTTTGCATTTGGCCATTATGCTTGAAAGCTCAGTTTCTGGGGTGCAGGCCTATCTCTACTCACTGTAGAATCCTCAAAGGCGGCCAGGCATGATGGCTCACATCTGTATTCCCGGCACTTTGGGAGGCCAAGGCGGGTGGATCATGAGGTCAAGAGTTTGAGACCAACATAGTGAAACCCTGTCTCTACTAAAAATGCAAAAATTAGCCAGGCATGGTGGCACACATCTGTAGCCCCAGCTACTCAGGAGGCTGAGGCAGGAGAATTGCTTGAACCTGGGAGGTGGAAGTTGCAGTTAGATGAGATCGTGCCACTGCACTCCAGCCTGGGTGACAGAGTTTCAAAAACTCCATCTCAAAAACAAACAAACAAAAGATTCCTCAAAGGCAGAGAATGGGCTTCATTTATTTCTACATCCAACCTGAACATACCCTCAATGTTAAGCATCTAACACAGTGCCTTTACATAACAAGTGACTAATAAATGTTTACTGAATTAACCTGGAATTTGAGAACAGTTAAACTTCCATCTATGGCTCAATACCAGTCTTAAAAATTATAAGTTCTATTAAAATTCTAATTAAAAGCCTAATAACTGCAAAAGCTTCTCATTCTAATAACCTAACAATTCTGCATCCAAAACAGTTATATACTTACATTCACTAGGAGAGAGAAGTCAGTGACCAGTTGGCTAAGTTCAAGTAAGTCCTTTAAAAGAAAGGGAGAGGAAGTTACTTTTATGCCTCACAGCTACCAAAAAGAAAATATTTTTTAACATACCGCTTCTAAGGTTTCCCATGATTCTGCAGCATTTTGATCTTGAGGAATTTCAGGTAAGGCATATATCTGAGTCAAACTCTGAGAACTAGCTTCAGCTTCAGTAGTGTGAAATGCTCCTGGATGAACATAATAACCCCATGTTTAGAGTTTATTTGCCTTGTTAGACAGGAGATAGCATAAATTGATTTCATAAAACAAATGACACATAAAATGTTCTCTAATTAAATTTAGGCTAAAAGGAAATTGATTATTCTACAGAAATAGAATTGTTTGGCTGGGTGGAGTGGCTCACACCTATAATCTCAGCACTTCGGGAGGTTGAGGCAGGAGGATCACCTGAGCCCAGAAGTTCAAGACCAAACTGGGCAACATAGTGAGACCTCATCTCTACAAAGAAATTAAAAAATAGCCAGGTGTAGTGGTACATGCTTGTAGTCTCAGCTACTTGGGAGGCTGGGGTGGGGGAATCATTTGAGCCTGGAAGGTCGAGGTTGCAGTGAGCAGTGATCATGCCATTATATTCCAGCCTAGGTGACAGCAAGATCCTGTCTCAAAAAAAAAAAAAAAAAAAAAAAAAAAAAAAAAAAAAAAAAAAAAAAAAAAAAAAAAAAAAACACAAAACAAAAAAAAAGATTTATCCATGGGGCATCTTGCTCATTGTTTTTTTTTTCTTAAAAAGAATTTTTTTTTTTTAAATTGAGACACAGCCTTGCTATGTTGCCCAAGCTGGTCTTGGCCTCAAGTGATCCTCCTGTCTCAGCTTACCAAAGTGCTGGGATCACAGGCGTAAGCCACAACACCAAGCTTACACACACACACACACACACACACATATTTTTTGAGACAGAGTCTTGCTCTGTCACCCAGGCTGGAGTGCAGTGGCGTGATCTTGGCTCACTGCAACCTCTGCCTCCCAGGTTCAAGCAATTCTCCTGCCTCAGCCTCCTGAGTAGCTGGGACTAGAGGTACACACCAAGACATCCAGCTAATTTTTTGTATTTTTAGTAGAGATGGGGTTTCACCGTGTTAGCCATGGTGGTCTCAATCTTCCAACCTCGTGATCTGCCCACCTTGGCCCCTCAAAGTGTTGGGATTACAGGCATAGCCACTGCACCTGGCCCCACATATACATTTTTAAAATCTACACAGTCATCTAAAGTATGGCTACGAATAACATCAATCCAATCTGAATAACTAGGGCAGATGTGGAAAAAGTACCAAAGGAAAACTGTTCTGGTTGGCTAACGTTCCAAGGAGACATACCTATATAAATAGGTTTAATACTTTTCATCCTTAAACTTCTATTTGGCTATTTCAGTAGTAAATACTAGATATAGAAGGTGTTTAAGGCAGGGAAGTAATGTGTTTTTATTAATGAAATCAGTCACTATTGGTAACAATAAGATTGTCACCAAATATTCTTACCACATGTGTCCTTTTTGTCACTACTCTTCTCCTCAGAGTCAATCTTCTGGCCCATGCCATCATTGCTTCTACTTCTTTTGAGTTTTAAAAAAGGATCAACCTACTAGTTCTTTCCCCATTAAACACCGCTATGATAATGAATTAATTCATACTTTAAAATCTACCTTCAAGTCTTTATTTCCTCTTATTGGTTTTACCAATCATTCATTAATTGAGTTGACATTTATTAAACGCTTACTACATGCCAATCAGTGTGGCGAGGTGCTGCAGACACAATGGCAAGCCATAAAAAGTTTGGAGGAGGCAACATAGTATAGTGGTTAGGAGCCTAGGCCTAGTCAGAAAGACTTGGGTTAGAATTCTGATTTGGCTATTTATTAGCTGTTTGCCCTGGGAAGGTATTTCATCCCTTTGGCTGGTTTTTGTCATTTGTAAAATAAGGTGATATTTATTTTGCACAGTACCTGGGTTATACATAAACTATAAGTGCTCAATAAATTAGTTACTACTGCTGCTATTATTAACAGATCTTACCATAAAATGTGTAATAGAGACATATTAATAATCAAGTTCAGTCAGTATTGTCTAATAAGAACTGTAATATTGGTAAGTATAAAGTGCTACATGGGTTTAACCTAGACTTGTGGAGGGGAAAGTGGTCAGAGAAGGCTCTGAAGCCGAAGCCTGAGGATTAACAGAAATTACTATATAGGTGAACTGGGGCAGGGGTGGAAGGAGAAGCAAAGAGTATTCAGTTCAGAGACAGCAGTATGTGTATAGGCTTAGGGACTGAAAAATGTTCAGTACACTGACTGTGATAAGGAGAAAAGCAAAAACTAAGGCTGGAAATCTACTTTGAGATTATTCATGGCATTTGTAAACTATATTAAACAGTTTTGTTTTTCACAAAAGATCAATATATTACTATTAAAAATAGCTGGAGACAGAAGGTACCATAATCGGATTTTAGGTTTACAGAGGAAACTATAGCCACAGTGTGAAAAACACATTAAGGATGGAGTTGAAAGGTGAGAAAATTAGAGAGTAAAAAACCAGTCTGAAGGCTTTCTAATACATACAGTGAAAAGTGATGGTGATCTAAGATAATGACAGTAGAAATGGAAACAAGAGATCTGAAGGTCTACTATCTCCCCTTCACTTCAAGTTCAAAACACCACTTAGACTTTCTGAACACCCACTGAGTATCATTTTAGGGTACCAGGGATAAAAAGTAATTAACACAGAGTATATATTCTCAAGAAACTTGTATTCTAGAAAAGCCAGACATACAAAAAGAAATCACAAAACAACAGGAGACTGCATTGGTATCTACCTAGAATCAGACATAGATACATAAGTATTTGATGAGAGTTCAGAGCTATGGGTGGCATCTGATCCAGTTTGATATGGTATGCAGTTTATGGGAAGCCTTTCTAGAAAACTTGAGGTTACTAGGCAATGAAAAGAAGAATATATATTCTAGATATAAAAACCAGTAAGAACAAAGGCCCTCAAGGAAGAAACAATATAGCTACGTAAATCAGCAGTTTGATGGTAACAAAGCGAGAAGTAAAAGACAAATTACAAGTATAAGCCTATGGATGGTCAGGATGGGCCTTGCAGACCAGTTAAAGACTTTGGACTTTATCAGCACACCAAGGAGAGCTGTTGGAGAACAGAAAAATGCCATGATGACATGTGGCACCTGATCTACTCCTAAAAGTAAGCAATTATAACTCTACGTCCCTATTCTCTCAGTGTTCTTTTCAGCCAAACCTATAATTGAAACAGTATTTTATAAAACTGCGTTACTATTTTACCTTTAAAGCTTATTAATGCTTTACCTCTCCAGGAAAAATGTTTAAATTGTTTAAGAAGGGCGTAGTCAGTGGACTAAAAAGTAATTTGTAGATTTATCAGGACTGACAGTGTTTTGAATCTTATCTAAATATATTTATTTAACTTAAAGGAAGAGCAAAGGCAGCCGATATAGGGTAAGTTTTACATTAAGACATTATGGCAAATAGTCAATATTTTGAAAGCTCTAAATGTTTTTTTTACAAATGCTTGAACTAGTTATTTACCCTATACATTATCACCATAAAGACACTCTCATTTTCACTTCAACCAAGATAAATGAATTACTCTATTACCTTTCTTCAACTTAATATTTCCAGGTATTTATACTTCTTTAACATTATAATGAATTAATGATAACTTCATTATTATTAACAAATCAAATATAAAGGGGAACTTTATAATCATGCCCATTCTAAACATTTTTTTAAAGCCATAATTTTTGTACTATTAAAGAGGATTCAAATGAAGTATTCGAGGGTACACAACAAAATGAGGAGAGATTATCATATATTCATATTTAATCTAAAAAAATAAGGGATGGGAAATGTATGACATTTTAAATAAACATAAAAGATTTCCCTCAGTAAAGAATAAAAATGTTTAACTCATTTACGTCTAACTTGAAACCAAACTAAGTATGCATCTTAGTTCAAATAGAGTCTTAGAACAAAGAGGTCTGTTTTCTTCCATTAAAAAAACTGTGCTGTAAACTTAATTCTAAACCCCACTAATCAGTTCAAGCCATGACAATCAATTAAAGCAAATCTTTTAATTTCTATGACTTCCATAATTCATTTATTCCAGCTTGCATTTAACATCACTACATCAATGATGATCTTTTGACTTTGAACTTTTACAAATTGCTAAGCACATGGTAAGGCAAAACACTGAGATAGATTATAGTTTCAGGAAAGAAGGCTGAAGAACGTTAGCTTTGTCCTCAGAAGTAAAAAAACTGCAACTGTTTTTTTGTTTGTTTGTTTGTTTTTTTTTTTTTTTTTTTAGACGGCGTTTCGCTCTTGTTACCCAGGCTGGAGTGCAATGGCGCGATCTCGGCTCACCGCAACCTCCGCCTCCTGG